TTGTTTAAATCGTTTACATATAAAATCATGATTTAAGTTATGTCATTGTCTCTATAAGTTGTTTATAAATCTCACTACAGTAAGTAGATGGTAAAAGATTTTGTTTATGATAACTGAATTTGTTTAATTAAGAGCTCTATTAATTGTTTTAATTTTTCTACCAACCTTCATTTCTGTGTCAGTGAGTAGCGTGATATTCTTACTGGGCTAGTGTAGCTCATTCTTTATTTAACCATTTCAGATCAAGAGAACTAGGATCCAGAGTCCAATCCATAAGAGGGTTGCGAGTAGGATACCAGTTTTATTTATTTTACATTTATTTCCTTATTTTCTTCGTATTTCCTTCAAATGGTAATTTTCGTAGTACTATTTGAGACTTTAAGTTTTTGTGTAAAGAATGTAAACCTTAATTATTTATTTTGCCTCCGCACTAAATTCATAATTTATTTCTTTTAGAATTTATGAGGTCGTTACACTTAATGCCCTGTCCGGCATGAGGGTGAAACAGGCCGTCTCCATACCCCGTCTGGTATGAGTGCCAAAATACTAATCTTTGATACCCCGTCCGGTATGAGGCAACGTTCACGGTAGGGTTCTCTATATACTCGGTCCGTCCACCATCTCCTAGGATATCCAGTAAGGCTACTGTTCATCCATTTACTTAATCAAATAATTTTTCGTTTACCTTTAATTTCTAATTTTTCACTTTAACCGTAATTACATGAAACAAGCAATACATGCATCAAGGAAACACAATCGCATCATCATATAAATTTCAGTGTATTATCATGCATTCAAAAACTATAAAATCAACCAATCAGCTAAACATGGAAAACAGTAATAAATAATCAGTTCCGGCTCCATTAGTGACTTGTAATTAATTGTAGATATTTTTTAAACTATTCAAAATACTGTATTATTATTAATTAAACTCCAATTCCATAATAAGGAATAAGGTGAGGGATTCTTACACAAATTAATGTCCGAGATGCTAAACTTTCAGTCGTACCTACTGATGGGTCCCCGAGATTCCTTGAATTTTTATTTAGGGATTAAAACATATTTCAAGTACCTAGAAATATTCTAAAAAACTCAAAATCAATCTTAGAAACTCTTTTTGGCCAATTTTGGAATTTTGACACGGCAGCTCCACCATGCTTTGGTGACGACATTGCCGCCTACAACGGTGGTTTACCTCGAGTTGGCCGTTTTCGGCCATTTTCGGTTGATTTCGGCTAGTTTTGTACCCATCCCTACGAGA